CTCTTCTCTTCTCTTCTCTTCTCTTCTCTTCTCTTCTCTTCTCTTCTCTTCTCTTCTCTTCTCTTCTCAAGTTTATTTTGAGAGAGAGAGAGAGACAGAGAGAGAGAGAGTGTGTGCATGCATGAGCAAGCAGGAAAAGGGAAGGGGCAGAGAGAGGGAGAGAGAGAGAATCCCAAGCAGGTTATACACTGTCAGCATGGAGTCTGAGTCAGGCCTCAAACTCAAAAACCTCGGAAGTTGAGCCAAAGCTAAAGTCAGAGTTAACCTGTTGAGCCACCCAGGTGCCCCCTGAGGTTCTGCATTTCTAACAAGCTATTGAGTGGTACTGCTGACACCCGAGGGACACACTTGTAATCTTAGATAACAAGAGGTTGGGAGGTTCTGGTTTCTATTTACAGGTTCCGTGAGGTCAGGATCAAGGTCTCTGTGATGCTTCTGTCCTTTCCCAATGCTGTAAGATGTTCGCTCCAGCTCCAGCCATCAGTCTGCATTCATGGCAGATGGAGAAAACAAAGGGGAAAGGTGGTGCCATGCAATGTATTTATTGGTGACTTTTTTTGTTTTAGAAGTGAAATACACGCTTCCTCTAGTTTCACAGGGAATCCAGTGTAGCTTATTTGAGATCCATTTCTTGTGGGTTGGTACACTGCTGTCCTGAACAAAATCAGGATTCTTTTAGCAGGAAGGGGTGAATGGGTATTGAGTAGCAACTGACAGTGAATGCCACAATGTACCTGGTGAGGAAAGAAGAAGGTTCAAACGGTAAAAAAGATAGAAGTGAAACTTCCCTGTCCTCAATGTTTGGGCTTTTTCTGGGAAAAGACCAAAATTTAATTAGTTGCCATTTCCTGGTGTGTACCTTCAAAAATTGCCTGCATACCCATAAATAGATATACGTATATATATTTTCTTTCAAAACTCAACAGATTTCAAAATAACCTTTAAAAAAATGATGGAAGACATGATTTTTCTCCTTACTAAGAAGTAGTAAGAGAGAAAGTCAGGGAGGGGCAGAGAGACGGAGACAGAATCCCAAGCAGGCTCCACACTGTCAGTGCAGAGCCTGATGCAGGGCTCGAACTCATAGGCTGAGATACCATGACCTGCACCAAAACCGAGTCAGACACTTAACTGACGGAACCACACAGGTGTCTTGACTTTTTTTTTTTTAACTGGGTGTTTTTTCATACTTTGTAAAATTCAACATAATCTTTCTTCAAAGGTACGTCTCATTCCCCTTTATGTGTTTTGACCTGAAGCTGGTGGCTTTCTGCCTTCCAAGAGGAGGAGTGTGGTTGATTTTGCTTTCTCTCCCCATAGAACTCCTGCCCTACTTGTGATGGCTATTGTTTTGTACCCTGATAAATTGTAACAGATGAAAAAAGTTGAGGAGAGAGAGCAAAGATTTAGGGTGATTCTTGGCTCAGTGACTTTGTATCCTTTTAGGTTAGCCAATGTTTAAAGATGACACTGGGGGTACTTTGCTGAATTAATTCCCACTGCTGCACTGTAGATCACTTTTCTGCAATTCTCTTGACCTGGATGATGCTTCTCTCTTCCAGATAGTTTCTTGTGCTGTCTTTTCCTGAAATCTGGTCTTCACTTATACATCCATGTTCTTGCTGCCGTCATCTGACCATCCTTCAGGACTGCTCTGTACGACAGCACCTAAGATCATGTCATACTGGCTCTCTTTGCTACTGTCTGTGCTTACCCCGGGGAAATAGCCACGTATCCCTTGCTCTTAGAAACATGAGTCAGGACATACTATACATTCGTTTCTATTCTGCAGCTTTAGGTGGCTTAAATTTTCTCAGCTGTGAGTTAGGGACAAACACTCCATGACTCCAAGGACAAATTCTCCAAGTGTTTCCATATGCATTCCTTTCCCCAAGCTTGAGATGAAGGGAAAAAGACTCCATATTCCCCCCAAAGGAGGTAGCAGGAACCTGTTTGGCAACACTCTGCCAATAAATAGCCTGCAATGTATTCTCCCTCCTAAGCCTCTGACCACTTTTGGTATCTTATCTGGCTGAGGGTGCGGGACTCAGCACAGTAGTTCCGGCTTTCTCCATTCTAAATGTTGCACGTGGGAATCCGGCTAATCTTTAGTATCTATTGCATTAGGGTCTCAATTTTTGGTCTCCTTTTATATGATACGGGTTTTTCCTCCTTCTGGTGCTCTTTATTTCTTTGCATAAATCCATATTGCAGTTCGGTATCATTTTCTTTCATTCCGAAGGACTTCTGTTATCATTAGCTGCAGTGCAGATCTGCTGGTGGTGAATTCTTTCAACACTTTGATGGCCAGAAAAGTAATTATTTCTCTTTCATTTTTGAAAAAAAAAACTAGTAAGGCTGGGTATAGAATTCTGGATTAATTTTTCTTCTTTCACTTCTTTATGGATACTACATTACTGTATTTTGGATTGCATTGTTTCAAAAGAGAGAGAGATTATCCTTCTTCCCCTGTATAAAAAGTGTACTTTTAAGAATGTCGCATTGTCACTTTTTCAGTAATTTGATGGTATTACCTTGGGTAGTTTTCTTGATGTGTCTAGTACGAAAAGTTTGTTGCAATTTTTGGAGAAGAGGATTTATACTTCATATAAAACTAAGAAAAATTTTGGCTATTATTAAATATTTTTTTCTCTTCCACTTCTCTTTCTCTTCTCCTTTGTAGGCTCTAACTGCATGTATAGTAGACTTCCTGAAGTTGTCTCTCAGCTCACAGATGCACGCTCTTCCCTTTTCCCCTATACTTTCCTATTTGTATTTCATTTTCATTAGTGTCTATTTCTATGTTTTAAGGTTAAATAATCTTTAGTGTTTAATCTGCTGATCCCATCCCATGTGCTTTTCCTTTCAGAAACTATAGTTTTTATTACTAGAATTTTGATTTGGATGTGTGTCTGCACTTTACATGTTCAATCTCCTTCTACCTTCTAGAACATCTGTAATATAGTTTGAATAGCTAGTTGAATGTTCTTATCCACAGATTCTATCATCCATGTGATTTCTGGGTGTGTTTCTATCAATTTATTTTTCTTCTTGTTACAGGTTTTACTTTCCTACTTCTTTGCATGCCTATTAATTTTTGATTTGATACCCTTGGATATCAAAATTGAATTTTACCTTGTTGGGTGCTGGATATTTTTTTATTACTATAAATATGCATGAATTTTGTTCTAAGACCCAGTTCAGTTTTTGATCCTTTTGGATCTTTTCACATTTGTTGGGCGGAGGGGCACATCTCTGTTTAGTTTAATTTGGATTTTGCTCCACTAATGAGGCACTCTGTCACTCATCACGAGTACTGTACCTGATATCTTGTGGATTACAAGACCTTTTGTCACTCTGGCTGGTGGCAATACAAATTATTTCCAGCCCTGTGTAAACTCTGATGATTGCTCCTCCGAATCTGTTCTCATGGTTCTTATCCTGGCCTCAAGTAGTTTCCTCACATGCATGAGTTAATCAGTCTAAGACTAGATTGGGACCCCTGCTGTGTTGGGAGTTTTCTCTATGTTCAGCTCTCTCTTTTCCCTTCAAATCTGCCTTGTCTTCCCTGGACTCCCAGCTTATCGCCTCATTTAATGAGATGGCGAGGCTGTATCTGGTCTCCATCTAGCTGCTGCAGTTTGGAAACTTTTTTGAGGAAGTAAGTGACCATCATGGGGCTCACTTTGTTTTTTCTCAGGAATCACAGTTATGCACTGCCTAATGTCCAATGTCTAATAACTATTCCTTTAAATATTCTAGGTTATTAGTTGTTGTAGTCAGAAAAGCAAACGTGGTTCCTGTTACTCCATCTTGGTCAGGAGAGGAAGTCCTTGTCCTAAAATTTCAAAACATAGCAATTGAGCACATCAATCAGGATCATCTGGCACATGAACTTTTATTTTATTTTGTCACTGTTGGCAAGTACTTTGTATCTTCTCTAGATAATGACTTCACGTATTTTTATTTTTTAGAAAAAAAAAAAAGATACACATCTCCAGCCCTAAAAATATTCAGTAGATGATGTAAGTAGGTTTTCAAACTCAAGGTGTGTAAGATTAAGAATTTCTTTTTTCACCTTTTGGGCAAAATCCCACTCTGCATTATTGGTGGCTCTTGGTGTTAAAGGTAGGTGTTCACTTTAAATTGAAAAAAACTATCCATATGTACTTACAAGGTGCAGTGGAATCGACCCCATTGATAGGTTCAGCTCAACAACTTTAAAGGCCACTGACAAAGAAAAGTTCCCACCTGACTTAAGAAATCTTTTTCTCAGCCTGGGTTTTTCCGTGTAAAAATTAAGTTCATCTCAAAGCTTTAGTTCCAAGAAAAAAAAAAAAAATCAATCCTGTCTTTTGTTAAAATATATACCTAAAGTTCCCTATTCATTTTTCTCTGCCTGCTGCTTTCTTTTGTTATGTTATAGCACAATAATCCTTTTTAATGATCTTTTCTGGATAGTCAGGAGATTATGATCATTACTGTTATTATTTGCCACCACATGAAAGGCCTTTTAATTTTAAACTCTTTGAGTGTGTGTGGGAGATGTTGGTGTTGGATGTGAAGGAAACTCCTGTGAACCTTTGGAAAGTAGAGGCGTGGAAAAATGATTATGAGCATAAATCTCAGTAATATTTGTCCACCTTGGTATGTCTCTGTGGCTAATTAATCAAAAGCAATTAACAACTGGCAAATATCCAAAATCTCTGGTATGGCCAAATAGAGCTAAGGTGGTTCTCTTAAGTATTCGTCTGTTGGTGGAATATGTTTGTTGGCGGAAGCAACTCAGTGTGACAAGAGATGTGTTAAGACTGTCCTATGAAATTGTGTGATCTGCTAAAGTCCTACAGAAATATGTCCTTGTGGACTCTTGCCATATGTCACAATTGGTAGACTCATGAAACATGGTGCTTGTTAGATACATTTTCCTTTTCGTTTGTTTATTCTTATTCTGTATTAGACTGAAAGCTTCTGTGTGCCA